TTCCCTATTGTGTGCTTGCTTACTGTCTTGTAAACTTTCCCGCCAGTGAATGTAAATACAAACACTAATTTCCTTTCCTCAATAATCCCAGAATCGAGGTGAAATTCCAAAGGGTGGTGAAACAGCAAAAAGGGTTATATATATATTTTTTTCCTTTTTCCCAGCTCCTCATGGGTTGTGTTCTGGAAAACTTCCCCACCAGTTGGGCTCACCTGGCTGTTTGCGAGTGGTATTCTTCCAATGCAGTAAGTACTGTATGTTCAGGGAAAGCTTCTTAATCTTTTTTAAGATTTAGTTCCATATTGGCATATCCCTTAATGTCCTTGTTATTTGGCATTTGTCCTGAAAATTCTAAATTAACCATCAATGCACAGTTTAAAGACAACATGCCCAACATTCAGAATCTCTCATTACCCTTGATCCTTTCATTTCTTTATAATAAATATTTTAGATTTGTATTCATTCATTCTTTATTTATTTTATTAAATTTGTATGCTGCCTAGCTTCTCTGCAAGGTCAGATGTTTATACAAATACACTTATAAACATCATTCATATTCCTTTTTATAAGCTGATTTCATTTTCACCAATCACATTCTTATTCATTTTTGCATCTCTGTAGAGTTGTAATTGCAGGAATGTTCCAATCTCAGATGGCAAACCTCACATAAAGAATGTTTCCAAGCAAATACAACTCAGGCAAACAAAGTCACTAATCTATGGATAAAGGAGGATTAGAGAGGGGAAGTAGACATATGTTAGACTTTAACTAGAGATAATTAATTGTATGGATTACTGTACTAAACAGTAACGAAAGTTAAGCAGTAACCAAAGTTAATCAATGATGGAGGATAACTAAAAATGTATATAAATGCAAGACTATACTCCAATAAAGATCATCATCATAATTCAGTTGTTCATGATCAAACAACTCGACTGCCTCGTCATTACAACACATCTCCAAATGGCCTAATTGTTTTTTGTGCTCTCTTGTCTCAGTCTTGCCAGTCCATTCATGTTACTTGATAATTTTCTCCTAAAACATATTCATTTATATTCATGCACAATTTTTCCACAACTAATTTATGATTATTCCATTATCGCTGTTCACTGAAGAATGAACTTCCAGCTTTACAAGATTCAAAGAACTGTTACATAAACAACCACTTGCAAACTTCACCATCTACAATAAAGAGATAAATTCCTCAGAAGTTCATGAGAAATAGTTAAAAAAGAACCAGGAAAATTCTGCTGTAATGTATAAAGAAAAATAATAGTTCTGAGCTGAAACTAGTTCAGTTGCTGGAACAACTTTCATTTCGTTTGTTCATAATTAAATTTTCATTCTTCTCTCAGCTGGTACTAGGATTAGAATCCCTTCAGGCAGTCATTCAAAGACACAATTCTAGGTAAGCTAAGTTTACTGCAAAACAAGGAAAGCTGCAAAGAAGAAATCTAGTTATTATTGAGTGTAAAATGCAAGCCATATTTATCGTGGAACCAGCATGCAGACTGTACTCTTTCATCGTATTATAGTGAGCTAAATGCTTTTGAGCAGGACAACAATTAGCACTTGTTTCTTATTATTTGTTATTTATTCATTTATTATTGTCCTGTTCCAGTCTGATAGACTTGGAAATAAAAGCATTACAAAGATGACCATAATATTCACTGCCTCATAATTATGTTGAGTTTGGGATGTTTTTCATTATAATTTCTTCCTTATCTTTCAACTAGTTCTGTGTAAAGTTTTTTGTTTCTTTTAACTCATCAAACACTTATTTAAAGAAAAATAATTGGGTTTCTTTTCTAGGACTCATATTTTGTACAAAAATGCTTTTCTACTGCAATTGTGTTTGTATGTATGTTCAAAAACAAGTCAGTTGATAAAGTATGTTGATAAATATGAGAATTATGTTACAGGTTTTTGTATATCTATCCAAGGAAATCCTCTTTATATTCATATATGAACTATTTTGGATGGAGAATAGCACTGCATATAAACTATTCCTCCAAGTGTTGTCCTGACTGTGCAAAGAATAGTCTTACAAAAACTCTTTCAAAGATAATCTAAAGCTAAATATGCTAAAGATATGCCTCAAATAAGGATCTAACTGTAATGCAGCTTTAGGATTATTGTGGAATGGTCATTCCTGTCAAATGGAGATGGGAAATCACAATCCTTGAATATTGGCCTTTCATCTTTCTCCAATATTTTTATTTGTTCATTATCGTTTAGAGGCCATTGTAGCCCTATGCAATCACATCTCTTTTAATTGGTCCTCTGCACATTCCTCAATATGTTGCAGGTTATAGTGACATAATTTATAAGGAGACTTTATGCCTTCCATGACCTGTATTTGTTTGCCTATAGCACTTGCTATGTCCCAGCCAAGTTCCCTTCGCTGCCCCACTACAGTCTTATGAGGTGAAGGATGAGTGATTCTTTTGTAATGTTGCTACAAAAAAAAAGTCTCAACTGAGTGCATGATGTTTGTACTCAAACAATTCTAAGCACAAATATTTAAATAAACATTATAAAGTGAGTTTGCATGACATTTATTGAATAATATTCCTGAATAGGAATTGTACCTGGGAGTTTATATGTGGGAGAAGATAGAAAGATTGATAGCCAGACAGACGACAGATCTCAAATGTGCCAATCTATATATATCTCAAATGTAAATGCACAAAGGTATGTATGCACACAATGCTTGTACACAACATCAATCACACATCTTAAGTATGAGACTGAATTCTATACTTTCCATTTTATTCCTTTCTGAATATACTGAGCTGTAATAAATCTTATTCCAGCATTTTCATGTCTTTCTTGATTCTGCAGTTTCTCTCACATATGTAGTTTTTCAAAGGTAACAACAATTAAAGTTAAATGAGTGAATGAGTTTCCCTAATTCTTTCAGGAATCCCATCTGGTCTTTGAATTAATTCAGTTGGGTAGATAATCTTCCAATGTCTCATGATGACAGTTTCATTATGATAAATCTTGATTTATTTATGTTTTTCCATTTTACCGTCATTTTTTAAAAAACAGTCCTATCTCACTCCACATCTCTTGCCAAAATAAATTTGCCATAGTGATGCCTTTGGGATTCCCCCTCCCCTCTGTATATCTTCCTTTTAAAAGTCTTTAACTTTTAATATTTTAACCTAACCATTTTAATTCAGTTTTTAACTTTGTACTTATTTATTGTTTTACGTTATATTTTACATTGTAAACTGCCCAGAGTCACTTAGATGAGAGGGTGATGTGGAGATGTGATGACCCAGAGTGGGATACAAAACAAACACAGTCACAGAAAAACAGGTGAAGCCCCTTTTATTCCTTCACTTTGCTTCCAAGCTCCGAAGATTCTTGACTGAAGCCAAAAAACTCCCACACAAACAGTTACAAGAAGAAGGGAAAAAGCAACACAACCCCGGCAAGATAAGGGCTGGAGGAAGTCCACAAATAACACACACTGGGAAGGACACCAAACTCAGAGAGGAACCATCAACTAGACATATTTCCACACTTTGTTTGCCCATACACAGGACTGTACTTTTATTCAGTTGTCACAGTTGCAGCCCATGAAGAGGATCAAGGCCCTCTCCTCCCAAACAACCTCTGGAGCCACACTTCCACTCCCTGTGGGCTGTTCCTCCTCCCCCTCAGAGTCAGTCTCCACTAGGGGCATGACATGTGATGAATAAATAAACAAGTGCTACACTTTCTTCCTTTAAAAATCAGCTTTGGCAGGAAGAGATTGATCAGGTTTCAATATTACTTGAAAGCACTGTTCCTGCTTGCAACCTATATTTGAGGTTGCTATTGTGTTAGTGGTCAATCAGATTAACATAATTGCACTAGATTGTGTTAGCTCATTTTAAGTTTATTGACAAAGTTGGTTTTATGCAAGTTTGAAAACATGCCTGTAGTGAAATGATTGGGGAGAAGTCCTAAATGAAAATATTTCCCCTAAAAGTTACTGACTCTGATTCAAATCCCTGTGTGAATCCTTTTTTAAAATAAAATAAAACCTAATTTGTGTCTGGATAGAATGGATAGAACCATCATTAACTGGAGGAGTCATGTTGGAGAGAGAGAAAGAATCCCAAAGCCAGAGATTAAACCAATTGTTTTGTATCTTATGAGTAGCGTCTGAAAAATCCAAAAAACAGTGACTGAGAATAGATGCAATAGAAAAAGGATAGGGAATTGAGGCAGACTATTTCATGCTATTTTATGACAACTCAGAGATGAACAGATAGCACTTCTCTGGCATATACTATAGGTAGACTTTGCTTAGTGACCACAAGTAGAACTGGCACCTGGTCATTAGCAAAGCACCCACAAAGTGAAAAATCACATGACTGTGCTTACAATTTTAGTTCAGCTTTCTTTTGCTTTCTACTGCTTCAGAAGGCTATGATCCCAAATAGTCTGGTGAGCCCAGATAATGGGAAAGATCTCTGGGATTTGACTCAGGTCAAAGGACAATTCTATGCCCAAACTATGTAAACAGAGAAGCTGGTTGTCTGAAACGATACAGTGCAATATTAGATAATTACAGACCCTTGGCATGAGTATTCCTGAGCACTGAAATTAGGATTGAATATAGTTTATAGTTTAAAAAACTAGTAACATTTCTAGGCTTGAAAAACAACTTTCCTCTGTTACAATTTAAGGGGCAGCTATAAACATTCTTGAAATAGGGAAGACCAAGGGTTGTTTTTTTTTAAAAAAAAAAACTTTAGTTAGTTCACGACTGATCCAGGCCACACTTTCCAACTTCTTTTTCACCACATTTTCTAGGCTGCATCGTTTTACCCTTTCGACCTTCGGACATGGACATTTCTTTCCTTAACGCCTTTTAACCTAAGCAACGGTGCAGACACAGCTAGTTGCGCACGAGCACCAACAGTGCCGTCTCAAGACAGGCACCGCCTTCTGAACACGTGTCTCTTTGCAGCCAAGTTGCCTGTCTTCACACAGTCCCAACCTAGCAGTTCGCTAAGAAAGCGCCGGTTCGTGCTTTCAGTCCAGGCACGCAAGCAGGCGGAGAGCCGGCTTCCGCGCGGGGGTCTTGCTGAGAGCGCCTGCGAAGCGCGGAAAAAGCTGGCAGCTTTATGGAGGAATCAGGGCAAGTCGCTGAGAGAGAGGAGAGTGTGGATTGGGGCTACGAAGAAGGTAAGCAGGAGGCCGCCGGGTGGGGGGGCTGGGTTGAGTTTGTAATCTGCGACCAGTCTGAAGAATGGGAGGGAGTGGGAGAAGGCGGAAAGGAAAGGAAAGCCCTCTTGTCCCCCATCAATACGTGCAGGTAATGCTTGCCTTCGTTGTCGTGTCTGGGGCTGTTCGATAAAGCAATTTTCTTCCGACGAAAAGGAAAGGTTGCCAAGGTGAAGCCAGCTGCATCCAAAAGTGAGGGGTTTGTTTGGAGATAAAACAAAAAGCTTCCGAACCGCTTTAACAACACGTTGCCGTGTGACGTTGGCATGACCGAGGCTCTACTTTCAATTGCTGTGGCCCCTTAAAGGGATTTTTTAATCCCTCGGGGTTTTTTTTTAAAATCATCTGTACGTTTTGAAAGGTGAGATCATTCTTTTCAAGGCAGCATGGAGCCAGCGTTGTAGATGGGATATTGTGTACACCGTGATCTCGTGATAGAGGACTGAGAAAACAAAATAGATAAGGTGGATTTGTTGGGATTCTGATTCTTTTTCAGGCTGGATTAAGTGAAAAATTGTGTGTGTGTGCAGGAATAGGCTAGGCTAGGCTAGGATGGGATAGAGCTGGAAGGGACCTTGAAGGTCTTCTAGTCCAGCCCCCTCCTCAAGCAGGAGATTTTAATCTATACCCTTTCAGACAAGTGACTGTTCAGTCTCTTCTTAAAAACCTCCAGTGATGAAGCACCCATGATTTCTGAAGGGAAGCTGTTCCACTGATTGATTGTCCTCACTATTAGGAAGTTTCTCCTTAATTCCAGGTTGCTTCTCTCTTTGAATGGATGCTGTTTTTTGTGGTTGTGGTGAAAAATTAAAAATGTACATTTTCTGATATGACGGGAAGGAAGCATTATGCAAAACTATACAAGTTTATTTGGTTAAATCAAGATATTAAATATCTATGGAAATTCTCAACATCCAGATCATGGATTTCCCCTAAGCTTTTTTTGAAAAAGCAAGTAGACTTCCTTGGGGTTTTTATTCCTTGAAAAACTGAAGAAGCTTCTTGGATGAGAAGTGAAATGTTTTCACAGGGAAAAAACCCCCAAGGAAATCTAGTTGCCTTTTGAAAAACACCTTTGAGAAGATGTTAAACAGGAATTTAATTCTTTCCTTTAATCTAAAAAGAGTTTTAATCAACTTAAATGTATTCCCTGTTTTGTGATGTTTCATGCCTTTTACTCAGGCTAAGCAAACTTTCTCTTAAAATCCTGATTTCCAGTTTTTATACCTGAATGACATTTTTATGGCTTAAAGATAATAGGAATTAGTAGCTCATGTGTTATTACAATGTTATTTTAGAGATTCTTTGGCTGTCTCCTGTTTAACCTACCTGCTGGAATTTTACTTGTAGATCCCTGTCAAGTTATTTAATGTCAGAAATGACACTGTTTTGTAGTCTTTTAGTTAATTCCAACTTCATAAATTGATGGTCATGTCAATCTAGAGTACTCTTTGACCTGTATTTAAATCAAACTGAATATACATTTTTTATTTCTGATCAATGATTGTGATAATAGGAATTGAAAATGAGAACAGGAGATGTTTTGTCACATATTTTTATTTTCCCTAAAGAAATTTTTGCCATTTTTATTTTGTATTATGGTACATTTAATATTCTTAAGAAAAAATCTTGGCACGAACTGCTGGCCCATAGTGGATGAAAATGCATCTTTGCACTAGAGAACCATTTTTGAAAAAGCACCCTCTTGAATTTGTTGGTATACATTGTTGATTGCTGGCATTGAGCAGGTGGAAAATGCAATTTTTCTAAATGTTGTAGCTCTTATGCAGACCATAACTTTGAAGCTGCTATTTGCATATAAAGAAGCAGACTTCTGGATAAATGTTCACTGAATAGTTAAAAACTTTGACCCTGTTTTGGTCTTGAAATATGATACGTATAAATAATTTTGGTTCACTTTCCAAGGGATTTTGTCTTAATTCTCTTGATAATGTGATCTAGAAAAGGCAGAAGTGAAGCTATTATAAAAGAAATCCCTGTTGATAATGAAATCAAGATTAAATTCTTGTGTTGCACCCTTTTGCCTCTGTGGTCTAACTAATTTAGCTACTTACATTTGGATGGGAGGGACAGTTTCCACCTGCCTCTTGTTTGGACTAGTCTAATGTCAGACTGTTTACTTCTGATCTTGTGACAACTATCTTCAACAAACTTTGAAAAATGTATAGCAGAACAGGATAAATCTTGTCACAGTCCTTTTTTCTAAGAGCATAGAGAAAAACTGTTAACTTTCATTTCAATGAAATGTGTTATTCTCTTTTTCAGGTGTTGAGTGGGGGCTAATCTTTCCTGATGCAAATGGGGAATATCAATCTCCTATTAACTTGAATTCAAGAGAGGCCAAATATGATCCATTGTTACTGAAAGTACACTTGTCACCAAATTATGTTGTATGCCGTGATTGTGAGATCCTCAATGATGGACACTCAGTTCAGATCCTCTTAAAGACCAAATCAAGTATGTTTTCTTCACTACTTACTTCCTTTGTTTGCTTTAGGATAAACTAATACAGCACCCATTGTTTCATTTTAAAATTATGCTACTTATCATTAGTATCAATAGTAGCAACAAATTGAGAAATATTCTATTTGAATCAGAGAACTGAATTTAGGCATTAAATCCAATCTGCTGCTCATGATAGTAATCTAAAATAATGAATTCCTGTCAGAGAGCTATCTGGGCTTTCCTTGAATCCATTCTAGGAAGTAGGGGATACTCCTAGTAATTTGTTCCAGTGTCAAATTATTTTTAACTGAGAGGAAATTTTTCCTAACATTCACTCACTATCTGTTTTTGTCTAACACAAATGAATTTCATAATCTGCATTCAGAGAGATTGGAACCTTTATTTGTACAGAATCCCTTTATATACATGAACAGTGCCATAAAATTCTCCCTCTGTTTTCATATTGCTGTACGTTATGCATTTTTCTCAATTTTTCTTTATTCTCTTCAGCTTTATTGTCCTCTGAACTTGCTCCAGTTTATCAGAATCCTCCTTTCTTTCACATACATTAATTCAATCATTAATAGTGCATTTATGAAGAGACTGAGCCAAGGTCTGTGATCTGAACTCTGAACTGAACTGAATCAGAACTGAATTTTTATGGTTGTGCGGTAAAAAGTATAAGAGTGAAGGAAAAGGATGTTCCATGTATTAAATAACTGATTGGCTCAAGGCTTTCATTCTTGATTATCAGGGCTCTTAATTTATTTCATTTTAATTCTCATTGTCAAACTGGAACTCAGGAAAGGCAGTGCTTCAGCTACCCTTCACCAAATTGATGGCCTCTAACTATTTGAACTTAAGTCCTTTGATTTTTTTTTATCAGTTCAGCATTTGGACATACTTTTCAGCATCATGAAAATATCAATATCAATATATCTATAGAATGCCTGCTTAGAGAATATTGAATTCCTACTTCTTTGCTTTCACGTACATAACCCATGTGTGATCAGTATGGAAAAGGCATCCTGTGAGCCTCATGGAGACATTAGCCATATATTGTTGCAACTCAAAGATCGCTTGGAAAAGCAGATGGCTGATTGCTGGGAGTGAAAGGAATGAGACCTCACTCCACCAGGAAACATACATAATAATGTGTGTGCAAATAGGAGATATCTATCTTATATCTCTTTCAAACAGAAAAGAGCTCAGAAAATTACCCTCTCTAGTATACATTTTAAACAAATATTCCTTTGCCAGCATTCAGCGTTGATTATATATATAAAAATAATGTTTTTAATATTCTTGGCAATGTTCTAAATAATATGAGGCAGCTGGGGTTAGACAAAAAGAAATCTTTTCATTAGAAGAAATACTGCCTTGGTAACTTATAGCTTTGAGTCAGGAAAGTTTTTAAGTTCCACTTTAGATATTCTCCAAAATTACAAACAGAAATCAGGGAAAAATTATGCCCACCATACCGCAAGCAATTACAAATTGGAGAGAGGCATATGTTGCATATGTACAGATACTGGATTTGTGTTAAAAGGGGGGAATGTCAAGCCTACTGAAACATAGAGATGAAGGCAATTCAAATAGACACATACTTTGGGTGGCTTGTTTGGCAGAAAAGGAACATTTGAAATTTAGGATTTCATTTCCCCCATACCCCATTTTTTTAAAGAGTGGCCTTATTACAATATGATATGTGAAGTAAATATGCAGTAAATTTGTTGATCTCAAAATTAACAGATTCCCTTTTAATTTACCAGTCTGTTTTTTTTGTTATTGTTATCAAGGGAAAAAGAGTCAAAACTGTCTGCCCTAAAGGCAATGTTTTTATGTACCAGATCTAATGCTGACTGATATTTTGCTTTGTCAATGACACTTCTCTTTTGCAGGCTGAAGTAAGATTACAAAGTTCAACATTATCTAAATCTATCAAACAATTTTTCCTTCTAAGACAGTTATTTTGTTTTTTTGTTATGCAGAATATAATAAACAAAACTCCATAAGCTTAAAATTAAAAAACAAACAAACTACTTACTAAGTGGGTGTGTGTGTAATCTCCCCAGAAAACCTCAAAATATACTGGTACAATGTCAGTCTCATTTTTCATCCACAATATTTATGAAAAATTGGTTTAAAAAAATCACTTTCCAAATTTCCAATGAGAAACTTGAGCAACATAAGAGCTGTGGTGGCACAGTGGTTAGAGTGCGGTACTGCAGGCTACGTCTGCTGACTGCCGGCTGCCTGAAATTTGGCAGGTCAGATCTCACCAGGCTCAAGGTTGATTCAGCCTTCCATCCTTCCAAGGTCGGTAAAATGAGGACCCAGATTGTGTGGACAATATATTGACTCTGTAAACCACTAAGAGGTTTGTAAATCACTGTGAAGTGGTATATAAATCTAAGTGCTATTGCTATTTCTGAGTCTGACTAGAAAGAAGTAATTGAAGATTAATATATGCTTTGTAACATTTTCATGCATTTACCACTGTATAGTTTTAACACAAAGGCGAAAAACACAGCTTAAAATACTCCAAAATATCCCCCAAGTATATTTATATGAACTGTCTAGGGAGAAAGACACCATCCAAAATGGTTTCTCATTTGCTGGTGGCTTCTAAAATTTTAAATTGAATGGTTACTCAGAACAACTTTGTAGAATGTATGCATCAGATTTACTTGCCTCCTGTTGCTTCTCTCTATCAAATAGTTTTGAATAGCTAATCAGTCTTCATTGTTACATATTAGCAGGACTCACACATGGAGCTCAAGTGTGATGTTTTATCTATGATCGGTTGAATGAGCCTCAGTTGCTGAAATCAGACAATATGTGAAGCTACAGCCAAACAAATTACATTGTGGGTTACAGTAATGTGTGTGTCCAGCCACTGCTTTTACTACTTATTTCCCTCTTGTATTCAAATGGCCAAATATAATCTCAAGGCAACTGTCACATAGTAAAACATGGACCTCTTGTACAGGATAGTTTGTTTTCATAAAGACGATTCAATGTATATATTTCACTAAGAAAAATGGTGACATATAAATAAAAGAATGCAACTGGATGATATTGGCATAGTATAACCATGAAGTATATTTATTGCTCTACCAACTGTGTTAAATGTGAACTCCACTGCAGTTATCACATTTGACCTTTGCCCAAAGAGAAACAATTTTCCAACTGTTTGTTGAGAGGGGTTTTAAAACATTGCTAGCCATGAATATCACTTGCTATAATTTGTATTGTGCTCTTTTCCAGTGTTAGTGGGAGGCCCGTTACCGCAGGGCCATGAATTTGAACTTCACAGTGTTCGATTTCACTGGGGCAGAGAAAATCAGCGTGGCTCAGAACACACAGTTAATTTTAAAGCATTTCCCATGGAGGTAAGAGTGGTCTCACCTTACATAGCCTTAGAATTTATTTTCTTAATGTTAAATCATTACCACAATACAAGTTGGTTTCATTTTAACCCAGCATCTTATTGATTTATAGCAACAATTAATGACTGTCAGTTGAGGTAGGCACAGAGAATTTAAATTTACATGCATAGGATTATGCCTCCGGAACTATTTCTGTGTGATTAATTGGACATAAAATTAACAAACAGTACTATAAACTTTGGCATTAATAATATTCTAAAAAATACATGCCACCGTAGCAATTTCTGTGTCACCTTGAGTAACAAGTTGTTTTGCTTCCTCTTCTTAAACTGCACTTGTTGCCCATCTTGTGGTTTGAGAAAACTCTGAGCATCTTATAATGTGATAAAACATGCAGATATCAACATAATTATGAATATAAAACATATTTAAACTACAAAACATTAAAACAAACTAAAAAAAATCACAGGTTTGAAGTAGAAAAGTGCTGATACCTTCTCTGTTACTGCACCAACCACCTCCTTCCAGTAACTCCTTCAGGGCCCTATCCTAGCCGGTGTAGCCAAGTTTTAAGACTTTTCCTGAAGCCTTAAAAAGGATGGAGGCAGATCTCACCTCCTTTGACAAGATGTTTCAAAGGATGGGGCCCATGTCAGAAAAGGTTTTTCCTCTGGATCCCACCAGTTGAAATTCCTTGGCTGATGGGGTTCACACTAGCCCTTTTGCCAGCACAAATGGGAGGGGTCAGTCCCATTGCAAAAAGATGGTTCCATAGATATCCTGAACCCATGCCATAGAGGGTTTTAAAAGTAATAAGGAATACTTTTTTACAGCTTTTCTACAGGAGTTGGACCCAGACACAGATTGGCAACCAGTGCAGCTCACATAACAGTGGTGCTACATGTGCCAGCCTAGAGGCATTCAAAACAGTCTGCGCTGCTGCATTCTGGACCAATTGTATCCACTTTCTGAACACTCTTCAGGTGTATCCCCGTAGAGTGTATTGCAATAATCCAAGCACAAGATGAGTGACTGAGCGCAGGACCACATGACCCAGAAAAGGGCACACAACACAAAGGCCCTCATAGTCATGATGCCATCTACTCTTTGAGCAGAAGTCATGAGTATAGGAGAATCCTCAATTGCATACCAGGTGTGTCTGCAGTAATGTCACCCTATCCAGAATTAAAGATGATAAACCTCTGGATCCTGAAGTTCCGCCTATCTACAGCCACTTTGTGTTACCGAGGGTACTGTTTTGCCCCATCCAGACCCTGCACAGGCTGCATGCATTGTGAGAGGGCAGCCACTGCATTAATTGGGTCACCAGAGAGGGATTTATAACATTACAAAAAAGAAAACAATGTATGCATCTAGTGCATAGATGATTTCCAGTTTTTAATGAAATGCAACATCTAGAACAGTATTTCTTAAAAGTTTTCAGGAATTCTTCCTACTTTTTAAACTACAGAGGACACCAAAGAGCTTTTGTTGGTAAAGGTTATATTTATCGATATTCACCATATTAAAAATTAAAATTGATGTACGCGTAGAATATTTATTTATTAAATCATGCACAAATAGCAATAACAGCACATTAAATATTAACATAAAATACATTTTCATAAAAGGCCATTTTTAACAAATGAAAAGTAATAATGAGAAGAGTGATATTTTAAAGATTGTAAGTATCTTCAATATCTGGCAAAAGATTTTGATTACAGAGACCTCTGAAAGATGGTTTTGGGAGACCCCCCCATGGGTTCTATGACCATATATGATGAAACACTAATCTAGAAGATGCAGCGAGTGTTCAAAATGCTTAGCCTGAATATATCTCAAACCTGTGATGGTGGTTGCAGTATTTATGTGTTTCCTCATGCATCTAAGTTGTTTTTTTAATATAGCCAAACTCTTTCACTACATTTTTGTTTGGCTTTAAATATCGTGCTATTTTATCTTCATCCATTTATAAGTTTAAAAACAGAACATTTTTTTCTTCTTTATCTATTTTTTGTGGGATATATTATTTTGCTAAAGCATTTTTTTTTCTACTTAGAAATGGCATGATTTGTAAATTGGGGGTGGGGCTAAATAGTTTAAAATCTTCCTGCCCCCACCTAAGATTAGAAATATAGATTTCTTAATCTGATGTTATTTTGTCTCGTATTAGCTCTTTTCTTGGCATTGCTTAGTGGTGTATTGTATGCTGACCGGGTAGGCCAGTTTGTTACCAACAATCAAACTATTAACAATACCAATACATGAATAAACAATATGGAATATGACTTTTCTGTTTAAAGGTGCAAAACTCTCTGCTTATCTAGAATTTCTTATCTCAAACCTCCTGTTTTCCCGGATGCTTATACTTTTCCTTTCTCCTGTTTCCTGTTAGTCATCTCTACTCTTTCCCTTCACACTTTTTTCCTTCAAGTTCTCTTAGCTTTCTGTGCCTAAGGAGCAGCAAAAAAGAATCAAGATGGTGGCTGTGACTGAACGATCAAAGATCTGCTTGTTTTGAAATCTGTGACAATATGCATTAAAAGGGGACAGGACTTCAGTTGCATATTGGCCTTTTTGAACCCTTCTTGGATGGCTCTGTGCCAAAATAATTTGGGGTCAAATCAAGTTTGCAGAATTAGTTCCACTTTATCCTTAAAAACAAACAATAGACAGGTAAGAAAAACTGAAACAGGGAAACGTCAATTAGATTCCTTTAAATCTTAAGGCCCTTTTTTCTCATTGGTCAACCATATAACAAAAATATACACTATAACATTAATATTAAAAAGCTGTTCTACAAAAGCACCAGTAATGTATATGCCACTGTACAGTCACTGTTTTATAATGGGAGAATCAGACTTCAGATAAATCTCTTTATCTTATTTAGTGTAATAAAGAGTCTACACTTAAGCTATTAAAACCTCTAGTTAGTTGTAGAGTCAACAGTATAGCAGTATAATATGACAGTATAGTTACATTTCTAAAATATGTATTTTTCCTTAGAACCTGGAATTTGTTTTAAAGGCTTAATAATAATATGAACAAATTTCATGGAGAAGATTAACTATGTGGTTAAAAAAAGAGGTTAAAGTAGTCTGTGAATGGCCTTAAAATGATAATTTACAGATTTAATTGATGGATAATGTTAGTAGATATTTAAGTTTTTTTTAAAGTAATAAACCAAGAATCAATCCGTGACAGTCTGGTTGGCATATTTAGCTTGCTTTTTTCATTTATTTTATTTTTCAGATGTTTGCAAACATCTAAAGTATCATCTGTATAGAAATTTTTACAAACAGATTTTTGATACTTTTTTTAAAAAAAAATACTTTTTAAACTTCTGGTTTTTTAAAGGTTTAGTTTAATAGAACATTTGTTCCTTTTGTTACAGGAAGAAACAAACTCCCATATTTTTAAACAAGACAATGAATGAATGTACTGGCAAATCTTGAAAATCTTTGCTTGAAATTTATGATTTAGTATTTCAGGGTTGGGATCTGAAAAGAACACACAGTAGAATTACAGATAGTCCTCAGTTAATCAGTTTAGTAACCATTCAAAGTTATGATGGTACTTATGACGGGATCTTGTAGTTCCAGTCATCACAGTACCTCCCGCTTGGCAACCGACTCACATTTACAATGGTTGCAGAGTCCCATGGTCACACAGTCACCATTTGCAACTTTCCTGCCAACTCCTGACAAGTAAAGTCAAAAGGGAAGCTGGCAGAGAAAGTTGCATGTTGCTTTGGTAAGTTGTTTACATTCCAGTGGCTTTTTTTCCTGAGGACCCTGGCTACCTATGGCATCCCCTGCCCATGGCAGCCACCTGTATACCCTGAGGCACCTGGCAGCAGTCATGCCCTGGCATGTCCCCAAGCCACCAGCAGCCACTTACTTACCTGCCAACCTGCTTGCAAGCTGACTGCGGCTTGCAACTTCCCACTGGGTTCCCCATTGACTGTAAATTGCACAACTCCATCAGCCAAGCCCTTATTGTATTTCAGGAACAAATCAAAAGGTAGATGCTGTCCTTTCAGCCTCAATCAGCAAAACTTAAAGAAAGTTTTTTGCCATGGGTGAATAGGCGGCAATATAAATCAAATAATAAATAAATAAATGTGATTGGGAGATTGTCCTTTGTCCTTTGCTTTGTTTCTCTTCCCACCAAGCATCACCTATGGGAGGGAAAACATCTTATGTATTCCGAATTATGATATAAAAATACCATATCTGTGTTCTGAATAGTGTGATACTTATTGACTGAGATGTGTAAGAGGCTGACAGCAGGCAGAGAAATTCTGTACACTTCATGTCCTCCAGGAAGCAGCAGAAACTGGTTTTTCAATTTAGATGAGGAATATGACAAGGGCAAAGGGAATATATTCTCCCTCTAGTTTATAATATGGCATGTATTTAAAAACAGACACCCACAGATTTAGAAGCATAATTAATGTCTTGACCCTTAGAACAATAGTGGTTGCTGAATGAGAAAGTCCCCTACAGCAGATATTTTTTCCAGTTTGAATTAGCTGATGCTAATATAATATTTGCAGACTATACAGATTAGTAAGATTGTTTGTTTTATAAAATTGAAGTTTACCATTAACCTTAAGCCACAGAATAAAAAGAAAAAAGTCAACAGATACTGGTACATCAGAGGTTCACAATTGTGGTATTATTTTCCAATGATAAATTGTTGAGAGAAGTAGGTTTGCTTTGTCTGATTTATTTTACACAAATATTCTGTTCATAGAACCTTGACTGCTTTATATGATGTGCTGCATCTCAGTTGTGATTCGCTATGTCGAGAGCTATGTGTGCTAGCATTATTTTGCTGCCCCTGTTGTGGCAAAAAATGCTGTCCATTTCCACTGTTAAAATAAGGTTGAGTAGGTGGACTAGAGAGAAGCTGCCATTTTGTTTTTTGCCTCAGCACAATACAAATAAACTGATCTGCTTTCTGAAAAAGGCTGTTGAAGAAGAGACCCAGTGTATGTA